TATAAGTACAGGACATTTATTTTAGTTGTAACTAAAATTAAAAAGCTAAAATAAAAAACTCTACTTAGTTTAGTTTTAGCTAAACTAAAACAAAAATACTATGTTTTTAGTTTATAAATATTCATACACAACTATAGCAGAAAAAAGGAAGTCATCAGGCACTTGACCTGCAGACGCAGAGGGAGGCTGATGATTTTTATTGGTAACTGATGTGGTTTGGATGCTGTGATCGAGAAATAAAGATAATTCTTAGTAAATGTCTACATTAAGCCGTATATATTGTAATTGGATTCATGGAATTTGATGTATAGTAAGACTATGCAAAAATATTCTTTTTGAATGCAAAACAAAGAAGTTCCAGTCTTAGGTAATTATTAATGGATTTTTCACCCTCATTATGTCCAGCAGGACTGCTATTCTTTGTACAAGTCATGGAGTAATTTTCCACTGTGCATGACACATTACAGGACATGTCATTCCAGGTCCTTGCCCACCAAATGCCAGGAGAGCCCTCAGCCGTGGCAGCATTTTCCAAATTTTCCTATAGGTGGGTTATCCCTTCCATTGAGAACCAAGGATCTGATTGGGAAGCAAGACATTGAGAAGGTTAAATTATATCAGAAGACTTCAACAACAGCCCAGAAAAACAATAAAAGGGATGTAATCAGGTCACATATTTTTGGGAGAGTAGTAGAAAAGGGATGAAGGCTTACGCATTTCAAGGAGTCCATACTAGTCAAAGCTAGAATCAGGCAATGTAGGAATAAAGATGGGTGTTGAGCATGGCCATCCTCAGAAAGGTAGAAAGGAGAAGGGAGGCATGCTAGGCTGGAGATACACCATGCAGAGGAGAACAAAGCATGTGGCAAATAAACACAGTGTCTGGGAGACAAGAGACACAGACGTGCAAACATCTGCAAATTAACCTTCCAGAAAAGGCAGTGGGAGTTGTCAAATTACCATTGCTCCTGTCCTTTTCTCTGTTTACGACTGTTTATCTCTGCTCTCTCCACACCTTTCATTCTCTTTTTCTCTTAATAATGAGTCCAAGTTAGATCCCAGACCTCAGCTGACTGTAAAATCCAGTTCAGATAAGGATTGACTCTGAGGACACTTAGAATGATCACTACTGATGTAATTCTACATAATTCATCCAACATAGAATAGCAATGGATGTTCCTGATTATGCTAATAATGTTGGTGATAATGATTGTTACGTATTGTCATGATAAAGTACCTCAGAGGATGGTTATTAATATTCATCCATAACAATGATAAATCATTTGACTTTTCAGAAGTCAGGTGAAGTATTTTAAAAGATATTTAAATTGGATAACTTTTCATGTGTCTTAAATACTGGTAACAAAAGACTAATGGGTATTTTAAAAATTGAATATAAGTACTTTTTATCAAATATCTTCTATTAGCATTACTTTATGTTCTATCCATACAAGTAGCTGCACAATTATGTATTTTACCAGTAAATGGTGAGATTTTTAGCTATTTATATGTGTTATAAAAAATGTAAGCAACCTCATCTTTTCATGTGTTTGATCTGCTAAAGAGAAAAAGAGGAAATGCATTTGCAAGAAGGTAGGATCTAATGAGCTTAGCAATTTAAAAATAAAGAACCATGACTTTCTGCTGTTTTGTCATTTTTATTTCTTTACCTCATTCCCTATAGTAATTTGTTACAATTATCTAACCTTTACAGATAATTGTAGATTTTAAAAAATTACCATAATTTTGAAGAATGGAAGGAACACAAAGTATAATAATGTGTTTCTCATGCTTCTAAAAGAATTTAGTGATGGAAAAAAAACAAAGGAAACAATTACTATCTATATATCTAACTAATTTTATTTAACTACATTTGTTTTCACACTTTTATACAAGTATTTGTAAGATCTTTTTGGCTTTAAGTTGTCTTTAAGTTACTCCATCTCTACACACACATGAACACACCCACAGACACATAAAAAATTCAGATAAACACATGATTCCTAGTTATATCTACAAGCTTCATTAACCTTCCATCCTCTGCCCCAACTAATGTCTGGGGCAATGCCTTTCCTACAGAAAATGCTCAATAAAAACGTGTTATGTTAATAACATTTACATAATACTTTATGTAACAATTTAAATGTGACAGATATATGAAATTATGAAGTTCATTTCAATAATATTCATAGTAGTCCTACATGAAATGTCGTAAGACTATTAAACTAGTGTGATGACTTATCCAGCAATAGGTTTTGCCCATACTAATAGGAATTTTGTTTCTTAACTTCCCCCAGAGTACTTGGGATAAGTGTTTTTCATAATAATGTCCAGTTTTTTATTGTTGGACATAACATTCTTTTCTGTTTCAATGCCTTTATCTGCCTGGAAGCCTTTGCTATTGAAGTGAATTAAAATATATGTATTTCAAAGTTCTTACAGAGACTAGAAGCTTAGTCTACAGATAATGATGAGACAAACAACTGTGACCTGATAGCCAATTGTAATAGCTTCTTATAATATTTCTAATAATTTTTGATGGAACATGTTTATAAAAAGTACAATAATTACACAAAAATGTCACACATATAATTTACTTCTTTTCCAATGCTTTATTTTCTATGATTTATGTATCTTTTATTTTTAATCTGTATTTTTGTGCCTATATAGATTACTTTGTATTATTCTACTTCACATATATTTTATTTCTTGATTAAATTTTAAGTACTTTGAGGGCAGGAAAATAATAGTTGAAACTGCTTTCAAATCCCCTTGTATACTTGAACTCAGTATGGGAGGTAAATCAAGATCTGTTGAATATAATTTAACCTTTTCATTGTTTTGTTCTTGGACTTCTAAATTTTGTAGAATGGAATGAAGAAACAATGAAGATTGATTTGTTGTCTTTATCAATGAATATTGCCTCAGGAGCCCCTCAATCATGAGTGTAATCTCACTCATCTTATTACATTTTTAAGTATTAATTGCAAAATTCTACTTTTAGCTCCTGTTTTCAATACAACCCATCCATTAAAAAAATCATAGTTGAGAATTTATTGGGCAGTTTTCCTATAGAAAGACTGGGGTTTGTCTCCCTTCCCATCCCAACTGGACCTTGTTCCTTACTCACTATCCTTCCTATCCTCTGCTATTTCCTTTCCACAGTCTCTCTGAGTGTCTATAGATGTTGAGACGTCACCAACTCTAAAAAATAACCTTTCCCATGACCCTGTTTCTGCCTCTTCCTGCTTTTCACATACATGGCTATTTCTTTCTTTCCTTCCCTTCACTGAAAACTTCTGGTGGCTTGAAACTCTGGTTACTTCTTCTTTCTTCCCTTTGACTTCCTCATCCAATCTGACACTAAATCATGTTGATTATCAAACTCACTGGCTCTCAGATTGGTCTTCCCCTTTCCGTTTTCACTGCTCCCATCCTGTCGCACGACAGCTTTTCCTGACTCTGTAGAATTAATATCAATTATCAGTCATACATCACCATCAGTAAACACCCAGGCTTTCACAATCTGACTCCCAGTATAATAACAGTGGCCACTTACTGTGGTCCTACCACCTATCAGGCACTTGTGATAAGGGTTTTACTTATACTATATCTCATCCATAATTATTCACAACAACCCTAGATAGACAATAATACTGACCTCATTCTGTAGGTGAGAAATGACCCTGAACTTTATTTCTAAATTTACCTTCCAACACAGCCCTGTCATGTCCATGGCCCAATCTGGCAATTGATTTGTATGGTCTGGAAACTTGCTTTTGATTTCTCACTTCTAGCTTTTGCTCCTTCAGCAACTGGTCATCTGTGTATTTGAGACTCCTGCCACGTCTGCTCATCAGTCAGAACCCAATTCAAATTCCAGGAGTTTTGTGAAGTTCTGTCAGCATTTCCCAACGATCTAAGCAGTTAATCATTTCTTCCTCTTACCTCTTAAAGCACTTGGGTATTTCCAACCTACAGTTCTGCACACTGGCTTTCTTTGTTTATGTGTCCACTCTACTCACCCAGTTTATAGGCTCCTTAAGGGGCTAGGACAATTTTATATATTCTGTTATCTCACTAAGGAAGGAAGCCCTTAGCATAGTACCTTTAATGGATTCCTCATCTCTACTTACACATTACTTGCTTTTAATAATTAACACTCTAGCAGAATGCGTCTTTGTGGTTATTGACTTGGTTTACGTATGAATGATTGTCTTATTTAATCATACTTCCCATGGACCCATTTTCACTTGTTAAGTATAAATGTTCTTTCTGTTTCTTAAATAGGAGGTGTATACTTATGAATGCAGTCTCAAAATGCTCATAAATATTGCTCCTTTAAGAAACATCCAGAATATTCTGAACACTATAAAAGCATACCAGCAAATAAAGTACCATACAGAGAACATGAACTGAGTAAGCCAGATGATTGCATGTCAAAGATCAAGACCAGAATTGCAAAAATATTAAAAGGGAGATATGGGGATTAGGAACAGAAGAAAAAAGTTAAATATGTAAAATAAAGCAATTCTCTATATGTTGCTGTAGGGAAAAAAACAAACTAGATCACAGTTACCACAATTTGGAAGCTTGGCCTTATAATTATAATGTCTTGGAACTTGCTTTTACTTTCTGCCTTGGGCCTTTGCTGTGTTTCAACATCTAGAATGTTGTAAATTTCATTCATTCTCTTGCCCAAGTCTACTCAGCGATCAAGACCTAACTCAAATCCCAACAGCTGAGCATTTTCCCCAAGTGTTTCACGCAGGGCAAAGTACCCATAAAAATCATTTTTAAGGTCAATCCCATTTTATGGTAATTTACATAACATGCCAGAATCTTATAATATGCCTGTTACTACTACATTTCATTCTTCTGGTACTAAGGTAAATTTTTAACATTTGCCAAACGGCAGTATTTTGAAGACTATGTAATTGTTAGGAGCACTGAGACGTACTGAGCTGTAGACAAGGACATAAAAATGAATTTTATTAATTGCTATAATTATTTTTTGTTAAAAATGAATTATAATGTCTCCATGTCATTGTTGCTCCATAGCATCCCCCCAAGAGTGACCTGCTTCTCACGCAGGTATTCTTATTTTAAAATGTCTTTTCATCCCAAGTCAGTGACCAGGCCAGTCCAAAGTCTGTACCAAATCTTTGATGATGCTTAAAATTCTAATTTCATGAAAAAAGAGAAACACTTTACTGCACAAGCACTTCAAGTCCCACCTTTTCTTCACCTCCTGCTCTTTTCCCAGCCAGGAAACGCGCAGGCGGGTGAGTAGGGGTCTGCCCTGCCGGCTGCTGTTGGAGTCACGCACCGGGGCTGAGTGCGCCCCCGTGTCTCGCAGGTGGCGCGGCCCTCGGCCTTCCCCCCACATTCCGGAGCCCGGGAAGGGCGGCGGGTGGGAGCTCAGCCCCGCGCCGCCGCCGCCCGCCCTCGCCCAGGTGAGCGCCGCTCGCTGGCCCGGGTCCAGAGGCCGGGCGGCGTAACGCTGCTGGCAGGAGGGCGGGCACTGGAAAAGGCTTTGTGCTCTGCTGGGGCAGGGCTGGCTTTGAGCTCAGACAGGTTCCGAGGTGCCCCGGCTGCGCGGGGCCTGGGGTGACACACGGCCGCCGACTTGTTGCGGCCCGTCCGGGGGGACGCCCGCCCTCGCTCGGCTCCGCACCAGGCGCGGGGAGGCGCGGTCGGGCGGAATGCGCTGCCCGCCGCCGACCTGACGCTCGCAGGTAACTCGCCGCCTCCCGGGAGGCCGCCGTGTGGGGCTCGGGGCGCTCCTGGCCGGGAGTGGGCCCCCGGCTCCCGGCGGGCGCGGGCAGGGGCGGGCGGGACGGCCGGGCCGGGGCTGCCCCCAGGGCCGCCCCGCGGGGCGGGGACCGCGACCACCGCGCGGGACCAGGACGCGCCCGGGCGCAGCGCGCGGTCGCCCCCTGCGCCGCGGTGCCGGGGAGGGAGCGCTGCGAAGTTTGAAAAGTTGAGTGTGAGGCGGGGTGCGCTCGGGTTCCTCCGGGGCAGGCGTCGCCCTCCGCGGACGCGGCTCTGCTTCCTCTTCGCCCCGGGAGCCGGCGGGGCCGGCGGCGGCCCGGGGAGGACGTGCGGGGCGAGCGCGGGGGCGGGCGCGCGGCGGGGCGGCGGGCTGAGCGGGGAGGCGGCTGGCGCGCCCGCGGGTCTCAGTGGGGAGCGGAACGCGACATTTTTCTGCACAAAATCTCTTTTCCCATTCGTACCAGACTCCGCCTCTGCCCCCGGGTTAGCTGGGACCTGCGCGCCTCTAACTTGAGTTATTCTGAACCTGGGTGTGCGACCTTGGTTAGCTCGCCAGGTGATTCTGGTCCAAAACAGTTTTTGAGAAGCCGTGTTCTCGGTTGTGGTGGCCTTAAAAAGGGGAGTGTGACCGGAGGACGTTGCTCCTGTAGAGGTAGCTTGGAGACTTCCGGCCTAGGCTTTGTGGCATATTGGTATTGGGGGAATTACTACCTGCGTAAAGTGGGTGAGGAGGCAGGTACCGTGCGTGTGTGTTAGGTGTTGGGATCGTGAATATGTAAAGAGACAACAGTGCTTATAAGGCGCAGAGGAGGTTATGGGAACACAGGATAGCACGTTGACTATGCACGGAGTGGTGAGGTTTGAGGTTCGAGGGTCTTTAAGTGACCTGCAGAAGAGGCGATGAGAGCTAACGAGGCCAGAACACTAAGAAAAAGACATGCTGGTGGCAAACAGTCAAGGCTAGACTCTGAAGTCTAATTCATTTCCAGGTTCCCACTTGCAAGGCGTTGTTCTAGGTTCCTGTCAGGCCCCTCCCCGCTTGCTCTTTCTCATTCTCAACAAATGCAAGAGCCCCAGGGAACTCTGTGACTGAGGCTGAATCAGTCCAGAGGAGAAATAGGAAAGGGGACAGCGGTGAAAGGGACTTAGAAGAGAAAGCTGGTCTTTTTGGTTTTTCAAGATAACTAAAGAATGAGAATGGTGTGTAACAGGATGAAGCAGGGGTGCTGTGGCGTTTTGTTGTGTTAGTTTTGTCCCTGTCTTCCTGCAGTTCCCAAAATGATGGACTTCCCACACCTTCCAGTTCCAAATTCCACACCCCTTTTCTTTGGAGCTTTGCGCCCACACCCGCGTAGTGTACACCCCTATTAAGGGTGCTGGCTGCCCTCTGCAGAGCCTGCCTGAGGGCCTGGGGTGGATCCTGCCTTTAAAGCTGGCACATTCTAGAGGGCAGATGCTCAGAATCTACTGTGGGAAGCATCAGCAATTGAACAGCTGCTGAAAAGGATTGCATAGACAGACAAACCACGCCTCGGGTGCTGACTCAGTGATGTCTCCTGTGATTGCTCTCTGGAAATTACTACCTTACCTGTGGCTGACTAAAGTCCTTGGGGTTGCATTAATTAATTTCATTATTCTTTCTGTTTTATGCCCTACTGCTACATACCCCCTACCTATCCCCTTATAGTGTATGGTGGACATTCATACATTGCATATTTTCTTAACCGTGACTCACCTTCCAGCAGCTCACCTCTCTGTTTCTGATTCAATTACATTCCGTAATAATGAGTTTCCAAGATGTAACATCATACTTTAAATCTGGAGAATCTTGTGGTCAAAATGTGATCTTTGTAAAGCAGGCCACTTCTATAACATACATCTGAATGGAGGAGACCTTTTGAAAAGGCCCTACTTAGCTTAATTTAATTATTTGTAAAATTACACGTTGCCGATGTTGAGCTAGGTAGGTAAGTTGGCGTGTGTGTTTCTCGGTAACATGCAAAATATGACTGTTTCAGGGATGTTTCACAATTCAGAGTTGGAGTAACATAGTGTTACTGTTAATTCTGAAATGTATTTTTGTTCATTAAGTATTTCTAATCTGGAAGTGGGATGTATTTTAGAACTTGTTGGTAAATTTATTTTTTAAAAATCAGAATACATTCCCCTCCATGGAAATTGAGTTCTAAATTATGCTTATGTGTTTTAAGGGTGACGTGGATTAAATATTATACAGATATATCCACCTACATTTCTCTGAGAAAATGTGCTACAGCCCTCTGGTGACTCATCCTAGTGAGGTGGGCCCGTGGGCATTGCCACTATTTTGAGGTATGTGTCCCAGTCTGTAAGGGCGGAGTGGGTTCCCTAGGGGATTGACAGTCATCTGGAGGCTTAGTACAGTGGGCTGCTGACCCAGGGGTTAAAGAAAAGGTGGGTTCCGTAGAAAGGGTATGTGTGGAGGTGAAGTGGAGTGGGGCAAGCTGACTCCAGGATTGGAAAAGAGTAGTTGATTAAAGAATAGGGAGGCCAACGTGTGCAGGAGGTAGTGGTGGGGGATTAGGGAGGCAAAAGTTATGTTCAGTAGCTCTGATGCTGGGAAAAAGATGAGCCTGGCTTGGAGAGATGATCCAGACAGAAGGATATTCACCCACTGGGCACGTCTGTCTTTGGAAGTGCTTGAATCATACGATCATGACTGATAGGGAGAAACTTTTCCTCTGGGGACATCTAATTACTACCCAGTTTGTATTTCATTTTATTTTCACATTGTCCTTAAGAGTGAGGCTGGGTGTCCCCTAAAGGCACACGACATTTATTTTTTGAGCAATGTGTCTAGTAATTTGTAGACTGCACCCATCCCGGGGTAGATAAAATAGTAGTGGTCAGCCTGCTGAGTACTGGCATAGGGTCAGGTACAATCTTAATGTTACTGCCTGTTTTACAGAGCTTAAACAAAAGCTAGGCAGTTGATATATAAAGGTTATAGTTGTGTGCTCTTATACTCTATCCATTCATTAAACACGTATGTATTGACTATTATACTCAGAACGATATGTTCCATTCTGGGGATATGAAGGTAACACAACACTATTCCTGGATCTTCTGAAGCTCATAGGGACCTAATGATAATTTTAAGTATGAATAAAAATTAATAAATCTCACTTACTTACTTAGTACTTCCCTTATATTCTCTGAGGGTTCCAGCAGATATTGTATGTATTCATTAATCATTTGTGAAGTTGAACCTAGCAGACCTAAGTTCGTTGCAATTTTGACAAAGTACTCAAATTCTATTGGCCTCTGAGGTTTTTCACTGGTGTGCCCCATTCTGTTCTGAAATTCTTTGTGATCACTCCATATTGAGGGTACCAGCAAATGATGTTAACTAACATCTCCCCATGGTATGACTGGGAAGTTAATCGTCTGCACTTCTGTTGTCAAATTTTCATTTCAAAGTGTTTTGTTTATCATTTTTCATCAGGTTGCTTCTCTGATTGTATAAGCATTACTCAAGGGGGAAGGAAAGGCTGTTTTCAAAGCACCAAAAAGTGGCATCTCCCAGCTCCACATCTGTAACAGCATCACTCAACGTGGGATGTTTGTCTGGGCTGTCATTTATATGCATGCACAGGCAGTGATGGCTTGCTTTCTTAACACATTGCTCAAAATACTTAGTTTCATCTGATTCATTCAACAGCTGTTTCCTGGTGTTTTGAAAGAATTGTATTTTTCTCCAAATAGTGTAACTTCTGAATTATTTTTAGAGAAGGGTGAAATAAAATTTAAGTTGTTTTTAGAGTAGGGAACGAACTGACAGTGTTCACCAATGATTCCTTTTTCCAGTCTCAACCCTTCTTTTCTTTTCTCATCTATTGTTTTTTAACCTTTTGCCTTATTGTATCATTTCTGGCCTCTTTTGTCCCTTCTTGTTCCTTCTCTTCCCTTTGTTTCTGTTCCTCTGTCTTCCCTTCCCTTCTCCAGCATCCCTTCCCATCCTTTCTCTTCATTTTTCTACGTTATCTTTCATCTTCTCTTTTTCCTTCCCTGCCGTTCCCTACTTCTCTTTGTCTATTTCTCCATCTGTTCACCTATTTGTTTTTACTTCCATCTGTCATCTCTCATCAGTACAGTTCACTACTTTCATACATAATGTTTCTATAAATCAATAAGTCAAATAATTAAAAATCAAATAGCATTTATTACAAGGGCAATTCTATTCTCTAATAGTTAAGATAAATTATAAATAAACTTGTCAGTTATACTTGGAAAGTTAAATGCAATATTCAATAGATTTCTAAAATTTTATACATTTAAAAAATTGTTCTTTTCCTTCACAGTAGAACATGTGTACAGTGATCATACAGTGATCACCTCATTAAAACCAAATATTTGGGTGGGTGAATGGGATAAAGAGGCCCAAAAATCTTAATCATAATATAAAGTAGTCATGGGAATGGAAGTATAGCATGGAAATCATAGTCAGTGGTTCTGTAACATTTTTCTATGTTGACAATAACTACACTAAGATGGGGTGAGGATTTAATAATGTGTGTAACTGTTGAATCACTATGTTGTATAATTGAAACCAATATAACATTGCATATCAACTATGCTTCAATTCAAAAAAGTAACAAAGAAAGCAAGGTAACATCTAATAAATTTTAGAAACTGGTTCATCTAAAATGATTAAACAGATATCACTGATTAGAAAAAAATCAGTGAAGATTTGCTTCATTTGGCATGTCCAGGAATTTCCATTTTTGCCTTGATTAAATATGATTTATTAGATAAACATTTTATCTATAACATCAAGACTTGCATTTTCCAATTTTCCAAAATCTTATAAAATTATAAGTTCAAGTTGCAATAAAATATTCAAATGAAAATACAAATAAGACAGTAAAAAGAAGGATAATAATGTTATTAAAACTGCATGTTGACATTCTGACAGCCTCACTGT